GGAAAGAGACACAAAACCCAGGCAGCACTTACTTGTAGCTGGATTACATGACCAGTGAGACTTTATCCGGCATGATTTCCCCTAAGGGTAATTTTGGAAATCAGTTGGCATGTGATAGTATATTTGAGCTAACAGAAACAGCCGAGGATGGAGGAAGCCCTGACTCCAGAGCAGTGTGTCTCATCGCCAGTGATACATTAGAATCACCTGGGAAGTAAAGAAAAGACCGGTGCCCAGCCAATAAATAGATTCTCCACAGGTGGAGCCAGGGCAAGGATGGTTCCCTCTCGGTGGCAGCGCCTCCCAGGCTTTGGTTCCGCTTGAATCGCTGGGGATCTTGTAGGACACACATTCTGCTTCCATGGGGCCCGAGGACTGTCTTTCTAAGTGCCCAGCTGGTAAGGATGTTGCTGATCAATAGACTTTGAGTACAGTGCTCCATAATGTTTGGCGAGTTTGTTTGGAAGCCTCTGGTTTCTTTTCAGGAGAGCAGACCTGAAGGACCACGTAAAGGTAGGTGGGTCCGCGAGGGGTAGAGGAGCACAGGGGCCCTCCGCCCTGGGCTCCTATCAGCGGTGGGCCCAGCCCGACTTCTCAGTTGGTTCTACTAGTGGCTGGGGTTACGTGGTGAGGCCGGTTCCTGGTTATGGGAAAACCAGCTGTCCGAGGCCTGTGACTGGGATGGTGCAATAGGCGATGCCCCATTACTCTCTCACTTGTTTAGAGGCCTTTCCAGATGACTCCACTGGCTGCCAGGATGTGGGTCTTTCCTATAAGTAAGAAAAGCCAGAAAGATTTTTGAATAGGAGATGACATGTCCATTGAATGTAAAAAAAGATACAAAAAACAAACCAACAAAACACACACACCATTGGCTTCAGAGCGCAAAATGATGTTGGAGAAGGGAAGCCAATTAGAAGGATGAGTAACCACTAGCGACAGAGGCCAAATGATTCTGATTAATGGAAAAATCACTGTGTGGCTAAAGTGGCTTGTCTCAGGGTGTACCTTGTTTCTCTCTTGGTCACATGTTCATAAGTGATCTATTTTGGGATGTGGAAGACAAGCTTAATTTTTAAAGGTCTAAGAGTTGAGACAGGGACAGAGAGAGCACTACGGAAGCCATGACAGGTCAGAGCAGTGAACCAAGTCCAGTAACGTGAAATTTAGCAGGGCTGTGTGTCAGCTCCTGGGTCTAAAAAGCACAGAGCTTGCACACGCAATCTGGATAACCCCTTGCTTCCCTTCTCAGGTTCTGAACTAACTAAAAGGTGGACATGGAAGTCAGGAACTTTTTAAATATCGGCTCGGTGATAAAATCCCTATGTCTTAGTCATATGGCCAGATGGGCTTGCAGGCAGTGCCTGAGCTGTACTCTCCCCTCAAAGGTCAGGCCTCTCTCCCAGAGAGACAGCAGCCCCAAGGGCACCTCTCGGCAGGCAGGCAGATAGATCCTAGTGGAGAGGAGGGGGCTAAGCTGAGCACAGGGTCTTACACCTGCCATCAGGTAAGTCTCCCTCCCTCAAGAAAGAGGAAGAGGAGAAGGTAGAGGGGTGGAGGCCAGTACCAGATCTCCAGGACAGTTCTCCCACCTGGAGGTTTGAGGACAGTGGGATGATAGCACCTTTTCTCTCTCCCCCTTCAGCAGATGGGGAGATGTGCTCCAGCAACAGGTCTAAACGGCCTTAGGTTGATGGCAGGCTGAATACTAATACAATTGCAGGCTGCATTAGTGTGAATGTATCACCTAGACAGAGTCTGGCCAGCCACGGCCCATGGGCCAGATCTGTCCCACTCAGTTTTTATATGGCCCGTGACCTATGAATGGCTTTTACATTTTTTAATGGTTGGAAAAAAGATCAAAAGAAGAATACCATTTCCTGACATGTGAAACTTATATGAAATTCAAATTTCAGCATCCTGTAAAGAAAAGTTTTCTTGGAACACCACAGTACCCGCTGTGTACTGTCTGATGGCTGCTTCCCCTCTGTCGGGGACAATCTGAGTGGATGGGACAGAGAGACCAGATAGCTGGCAGTGCCTAAAATACTCTCTGACCCTACACAGAAAACTTGCTGACTCCCGATGGAGCACGAAGGAGTGGTCATGTGGTTGAATTCTCTCGCGCTCGGTCACACTTAGGACAGTGTGTTCTTTTTTTTTTTTTTTTAACATCTTTATTGGGGTATAATTGCTTTACAATGGTGTGTTAGTTTCTGCTTTATAACAGAGTGAGTCAGTTATACATATATATATGTTCCCATATCTCTTCCCTCTTTGTCTCCAGGACAGTGTGTTCTGACCTGCGATCTCACTCTGAGTGTGGGGTGGGTCCCAAGAAGAGTGACCGGGATGGTGAAGAGACTACCCCCCCTGCCCCTGGCCACCAAATCATGTCAAGTGAGGCCTGGTGGAGAGAAGGGGGAGTGTGTCTGATCTAGAAGAGAAAAAGGTACAGTGGGAATGACAGCTGCCTT